CATTCTTATTGCTCAAAGTAGAGTTCAATAGTGTTATAAAAACCTTGGAGAATTCCAGTAAAATATCTTTAATCATTTCTAAGATACAATGGTTCAAAGCTTAACCTAACAATTGGACAATTTTGCTGTTACGCCATATATGTGTGTGTGTGTGTGTGTGTGAATAAAAATGACAATAGGAAAACTGGTAATTGCTGACGTGTTTCATCCAATGTGTACTTTATCAAAGCAAAATACGTCATTTTTATTCATAAATATTGTCTTCTCTACTGGTTAAATCAGAGAAATTTTCATATATATATATATATATATATATATATATCCCTCCCTCCATGAAGACTGACATTTAAGGATGTCTTAATGTATACAGTATTTCTTTGTGTATAATAAGAGAAATTTTGAAGAATTAAAAGGCAATAAAGTGGATGGGTGGGGGTGATATCATACCCAAGTACTTTTTTGGAAATTTTTTACTCAGCTTAAAGAAACCTTACTTGAAATAGCAAGATTACAAATACATTCAGCACAATAGATAAGAAAACACAAAGTAGGCAGGTTTTGATAACAATTGCTTACAAATTGTATTTGATATGTCAGCAATATTTGTTCTTTGGAAATCAGGGTAATGTTTAAAATTAGCATTTTTGCGCACAAGATAAAGTTTGTTTACTTTTTTTTTTTTTAATAAAGCCTTATCTCTTCATTTTCAAAATTTTTTTTTTTTTCTTCATCGCTTATATTTCTACTGACAAAATTACCCGTCTTACTGTGTGTCACACATTTTTTTTTTTTTGTAAGTGAAGATTGATTTAAAATCAATGTTATAATTTGTAGAGAAAAAAAATGATGCATTTCAATATTACTCAATGATCTTGTCAATGTGACCTCCATCTGCTGATTTTCTCCTACATTTTGGATACGAGTCATTCCCTTATTCAAATTTAAATTTAATTTAAATCAAATGGAAAAATATTTTCAGTTGTGGGTGGGATTGTGTCCCCTTTGGGACTCCCTTTCATCAAAATGAAATATACTTATCCAGGTATCCTGGGTTATGTAGTTTCAGAATATATAATTTTTACGGGGGTGGCTTCTATCCCCAAAACCCAAGGAGCAGTTCGATAACAAACAAACTGACAGAGATCTATTAAAATGTCTAATTAGCACCTTTTCAGAAAATAAGTTTTGAAACAAAATATTAGAAACATGGAAGGACAAAACATCCCGTTCATTTCAATCCTTTAATATCATGAAGAATTAAATATTTTATAGTGAAATATATACAACATTGAGATTTTAATGAAAAACTTGAAAAAAAGAAAATAAATAAAATAAAAATATTTTTATTAGGGTGGCTGTACTAAAGGGGTCGTATGAGTCAAAAGAAAATAATGTTGACAGTAGTCGATGTAAATTTCATAAAGATGTATGTCTACAGAAGCAAGTGTTAACTATCAAATTCTTGTCATTCTTGACTGATAAATTTTTTAATTAGTGAAAGTTTTATCTTGCTATTTTTTTTTTTTCCCATTTCACCCCAAGCAAGGTAATAAATACATTAAAGATGCAAAAGGTTATTGAGTATGAGAGAATGAGAAAAAGAAAAGAAGAGAGAGCAGTAAAACAGAAAATAACTACTGACAATGAAGTTAAATTTTTGAAGATCAAAGTTAACTGGAAAGCAAGAATCCAGAAAAGAGTTCCACAAGCAAGAAGTGCTAGAGAAGAAACTGTTGGCATAGAACTTAGTTTCATCTAGCCATTTCAATTGTAAAGCAATGAGACCTTGCTGCTAATCCAGTACATGTATTAATTGTATCAGGATGTTAAAAAGCATCATTTATGTTAAGTTTCTTATTTTAGAGTTATATACACATCAGACAGGCGGGATAGTGTTAATTGTCAGCAATTTAGAATGAGATATTTGCAAGCAAAGTTCAAATCCCAGTAAAGATTGTTAGACTCAGTTTAGTGCAGATATGCTTCTCCCTTTAGCTATAGATTAAATAGAGTACACTATATTCTCTAGCAACCAATCTATGAGATCGACTAATTCAAAACTGTGGGGACCATGCTTGATCAGCAAGGCCTGCTCAGTATAGTTGCAATCTAAACCACAGGTTGGCTCTATGAGCATTATAGAAACAAATGGGTCCCGAGATGGGCATACTTGAAAATGAGCAGTCATACTGAAGATGAGTTTTACTATCAGGTTGAAACATCTGACAATGAAATATGCTTATATTCAGAATACGATTTTTTTTTTTGTTTCTTCAAAAACTGAGTATAGTAGCAATGGTTCCCACTTAATTGAATATTCCAGTACCTTTATTAATTGTAGTGGTTCCCAAACATTAAAATTTGCTCATGTAATAAAAAGTACATTAAAAAAATAAAAAAAATAAAAATATACACAAGTTTAAAGGGAGATAACCGCGGAAGTCAAAACTTTATTATTGATAACTCCAGTTACTATATTCTTAATACTTGATATAATACAAAACTTTGAATAATACCACCTTAACTGCTATCCTCTTCGGGCACACCTATGGAAGCATGCTTCACAGTTTAGGAACCACTGCCACAAAGAAACTGCAAAATGCTCGCTTTAAGCTCAAAAAAGGAAGGGGGAGATCTCAACAGACACAGAAATGTTGTCTACTCCATTTGCTATGATCTACAGTAAGAACAAATCCGCCATCTAACTTGAATACAGTATATCATTATTGAAGTTCTATTAAATATTGATCCTTTATTGCACTGAAGTTAGGATTAAAGTATTACAGATTAAATAGTACTGGACCTTAGAGGTTATAACTGATAAATACTTAAGGTAATCTACTAGGTGACTTTGAATATATACCCTATATATGTAGGGGGGAATTGAACAACAGAATTGATTTTAATTCATGTACCTCTACATAAGAACAAGTGAACCTGATAATACAAAACTGATTTGAAATTGGGTTTATAAAAATGCCTATTGAAAGCAATGGCCTCAGAGTGATTTCAATATTCATATTAGAACAAAAAGTTTAGGCAAGAAAATTTCATGTTTTTGTTTGTTTTTTTTCCCTAGATCAGTATCTTTATTTTACCAAAATGTATAATATCAGAATTTGGGAGTAAAGAAATTTTTAAAAATAAATAAAAATAGAAGCAATTCACAATTATTATTGATTCAAATTCTATTGTATAATAAAAATTAGGTCCTGGACAGAGAGGAAAAGTACTTGGTGAACTTCTTTGTAATCAGTTTGAAGAATAATTAATTTGAAAGCAATGATTCTCAAACAGGAAGCATTTGAATCTCAAGTGAGAAATTTCAAATCTTAGAGAGAGAAAGAAAAAAAAAAAAAAAAAAAAAGTTGTGGGGGGGATTGGGCCTGGAGTATAAATACGAGTTTTTAATTTTGTTATTTTTCTTTAGTTGCAATTAATAAAGCAATTTGTTTTTATAAACCGTTTCAGTATTACCTTTGTAAGATTATAATGAAAGAGGATGGAGGGGGAAAAAAAATTTCCATTGAGAAACCATTCTACCACACACACCAATAAATAAAATTTCCTTGATGGAGAGAAAAAAAAAAAATTTGAGAAGTTTTAACTTCAGTAAATCTATTGAAGGCAGTAATTTAACTTATTGCTAAGTTAAATCCACATTTGATTTTGATTTTAATATCAGATAAATTAAAAATAATTAAACCTCCAGTAATGTACAGCATGCAAATAAAAAATAAATCAATAAAAGCAGCAAATCAGAAAATATTTTGTGTTAATTTGTTTTATTTTTGCTTTTTTCTTTGTTAGAATCAAAAAGTAAAAAAAAAAAAAAAAAAAAAAAAAATTTACATTAAAAAAAAATTCAATATTTGTATATATACATACACAATGTGCATGTGAATTTAAAATTTTATTTTACATAAATATTTTTCTGTTTTGTAAATAAGACAAATTTTAATGTCAGTGCAGCAGCAAAGAACTTGTGCTAAACAAATTTTTGCAGTGTTTTGGTCAAATGTGGCTTGTTTCCATTTACTATTGCTGCCATCACTTGTGTAAAAAAAAAAAAAAAAAAAAAGTGGGGATGAGAAAGTTTTACATTTTTTCCCCCCCCAGCCTTGTCTCCTGCCATCATGATGCCTCTTCTATTACATGTGCTTAAAGCAACAATTAACAAATGTTAATAAACAACTGAACAAGACTGGGGGGAATTTAGTGGTCCCTGATAACCCACTGGCTATAAATTGTGGAAGTAGATCAAACTACAATTATGATTCCCCAATCACTGGCCACATGGCACCCCACAAGGGCAAACTACCAGATATTTTCTTATTCTTCAAATAAAATTTGAAAGAGGGGGAGAGAATATAAAAAAAAAAAAAAAAAATCTTAACCCTCTCCAAAATTGGTCTAGCTTAGCCCCTAAAAGTTTTGTTTTAAAAAAGATTAGTTACAATTAGTATATTTGGTACTTACCAATAAATTAGAAAAAGTGTTAATTAGAAATCTGGTTATAAGTGATTGTACAAAATATTGTTTTAGAATGAGAAGTAGAAAATGGTGAAACTAAAAGGCAGGAAACAAGTCTTCATCATTGATTTACCTTCCTTGTTAAATGTGTTAAATTCACATTTATGTGAAGTGGAGAGTGATGATTAGTAGTGTTGTTTTTTTTGTTTTGTTTCCCCTCCCTCTTTTTTCAAGATCTTAGGTAAATGCAAGACTCAAGATATTTTTTTTTTTTTTTTATACATAAAAGAAATTTAATATTTTTGGTAAAGCCACATCATTTTTAAGACTTGGTATTTTTGTAATTAATTTTTAATACTTGTTAGGGTTGGGAATGTCTTGTTTTTTTTCTTTCCCCATTCACCCCACAATTTTTCTTGGTCATGAAAAGTGGTTTCGATTTATATGAAGGGAAAAGAAAATTAGTTCCTTGAAGTGGAATTTTTGTTCAAATGAAAATAATAAATTACCAAAGTTTTATGAAAAAATTATTTGGAAAGTTTCTTTAAAGAGAATGCGTGTATTCGGAAGTACTGTGATAATTTGCGCACCTGGAAAAATAAAAATAATATATAGATTAGTCATGTAATTTGGACTTATTTTTATAATTAAAATGACTGACTATTCATGTAGATAAACATTGAGAAAGAAAGCTTAATATGTTAAGAGAGAAAACGGAAATAATGTCAAAGTTACCTCCCTTGTTTCAATCTTAGATTTAGTAAAGAAAAAGGTTTAAAGTGATTATCTTTTGAACAGAAAGAAAAATATTTGACTAAAAAAAAAAAAAAAAAAAAAAAAAAAAAAAAGTAAAATTAATCGAATTTAAAAACTAGTAATACGGCAACTCCAAGATTAAGCGATTATCACATCCTTATAATCAGATATGCACATCATAATTTCAGTTATTAGCAAACTATTTTAACTAGTACTTATTTATGGTGAAAATAAGAAAAATATCTTAGGTTTATTATAACTAATAATAGGTTAGTAAAATTCTTTTACAATAGGCACCTCCATTAATTCACTAAAAAAATTATCATGATGAAAAACTTCCCAAAAGTTAAGTTTTATTTTCAAAATCTTTATGTTATTATTAAGATAAAAGGATTTCTGATTTATTAAATTATATATTTTTTGTTCCTTTTTGAGAAGGTTCAAAATTTTGGTTAAAAATCTCGTCTTGTGTCAGCGAGGTAACCAAAAATTAGTGTAGGAAATCTTAATGTCTCTTGTGGTGATAATGAAACTTTCAGGACTTATTCACAAATGAAATTATTTTAGAAGTGTTTTTTTTTGTTTTTTTTTTTTTTTTTTACATCTATTGACAATTTTTTTTATTTTTAAAACAATGATCACCTTAAACATGAAAACAAAAATTAGTTACAAATATTTTTGAGCAAGTTACATATTCTCTCTGTTGTGCTTTAAAACTTATTTAATAATTGGCTAATGGAACTCAAATATTTCCAACTGTCTTAATAATTAAATACCATTTATACAGGTATATTTAAAAAGATTAATTTAAGTCAATTTTGATAACTTAGAACTAATGAAGTGCATTTAGAGTGTCAAGGAAAACGAAATGATGCCTACCACAAAAATGCCATAAAAAAGATGCACAGCTGTTGCCAATAGACAGTAGGTCCAGAGCAACCACACTTCCATGTGTCCTGGTCTAAGGAAGATAACGTAGATGACAATAGCACTCAAAGGAGCAAGAAGAGGATTGAAGAGCTCACATCGAGTGTTACTCATCTGAGCCACAATAAGGCGACACTGAAAATTTAAAAAAAAATAAATAAAAAAAATAAAATAAAAAAAAGTGCATAGCTCAACATAGGGAGATGAACATTTGGTATAGGGAGCAGAACATTTTATGTATCAAACTGAATATTACTGATACAAATATTTATTAGTTAAAATTGTCTATTCTTAAAAAAAAAAAAAAAAAAAAAAAAAGAAAGAAAAGGGACAACGAAAAAGAAAGAAAAGGGACAACGAAAAAGAAAGAAAAGGGACAACGAAAAAGAAAGAAAAGGGACAACGAAAAAGAAAGAAAAGGGACAACGAAAAAAGAAAGAAAAGGGACAAAAAAAAAAAAAGGGACAACGAAAAAAAAAAAGGGACAACGAAAAAAAAGAAAAAAAAAAGGGACAACGAAAAAAAGAAAGAAAAGGGACAACGAAAAAAAGAAAGAAAAGGGACAACGAAAAAGAAAAAAAACAACGAAAAAAAAGAAAAGGGACAACGAAAAAAAAAGAAAAGGGACAACGAAAAAAAAGGACAAAAAAAAAAGAAAAGGGACAACGAAAAAAAGAAAGAAAAAGGGACAACGAAAAAAAAAGAAAAGGGACAAAAAAAAGAAAGAAAAGGGACAACGAAAAAAGAAAAAAGGGAAAAGGGACAAGGGACGAAAAAAGAAAGAAAAGGGACAACGAAAAAAAAAGAAAAGGGACAACGAAAAAAAAGAAAGGGACAACGAAAAAAAAAAAAAAAGGGACAACGAAAAAAAAAGAAAAAAAGAAAGGGGACAAAAGAAAAAAAAAGAAAAGGGACAACGAAAAAAAAAAGAAAAAGGGACAACGAAAAAAAAAGAAAAAGGGACAACGAAAAAAAGAAAGAAAAGGGACAACGAAAAAAAAAAAAGGGAAAAAACAACGAAAAAGAAAAAAAGGGACAACGAAAAAAAAAAAAAAGGGACAACGAAAAAAAGAAAAAAAGGGACAACGAAAAAGAAAGAAAAGGGACAACGAAAAAGAAAGAAAAGGGACAACGAAAAAGAAAGAAAAGGGACAACGAAAAAGAAAGAAAAGGGACAACGAAAAAGAAAGAAAAGGGACAACGAAAAAGAAAGAAAAGGGACAACGAAAAAGAAAGAAAAGGGACAACGAAAAAAGAAAAGGGACAGGGAAAAAAAAAAAAAAAAAAGAAAAGGGACAACGAAAAAAAGAAAGAAAAGGGACAAAAAAAAAGAAAGAAAAAAAAAAAAAAAGAAAAAGAAAAAAAAAAGAAAAGGAAAAAAAGAAAGAAAAGGGACAACGAAAAAAGAAAGAAAAGGGACAACGAAAAAAGAAAGAAAAGGGACAACGAAAAAAAAAAAGAAAAAAAGGGACAACGAAAAAAGAAAGAAAAGGGACAACGAAAAAAAAAGAAAAGGGACGAAAAAAAGAAAGAAAAGGGACAACGAAAAAGAAAAAAAAAGGGACAACGAAAAAAAAAAGAAAAGGGACAACGAAAAAGAAAGAAAAGGGACAACGAAAAAGAAAGAAAAGGGACAACGAAAAAGAAAGAAAAGGGACAACGAAAAAAAAGAAAAAAGGGACAACGAAAAAAAGAAAGAAAAGGGACAATGAAAAAGAAAAAAAAGGGACAACGAAAAAAAAAGAAAAAAAACAACGAAAAAAAGAAAGAAAAGGGACAACGAAAAAGAAAGAAAAGGGACAAGGAAAAAAAAAAAAAAAAAAAAAAAAAAAAGACAAGTATTTTTTTTTTTCAAAAACATATTGCTGGTAATAGTTATTTTTGTTCAAAAAAAATTTCTGGTAATAATTTTTTTTACAAAGTATTTCTGGTATTATAACCTATTTTTACCTCAGTTTTGGGGTTAACTATTTGCCCATAGCTGGGATCCTAACAGGTGCTACCATGCTCCTCAAAACCACCTGATCAGAGGCCTTGCTGCTGGATGTAGTTTATCATCTTACCCAGGACGGGTTAATATTCAGGTGGTGGTGAGATTATATATATATATATATATATATATATATATATATATATATATATATATATATATAAAAATAAGAGAGAGGGACCAGTTTATTGGTCCTCAGCAGAGAGCTATAGAGGACAAAAATATACAGTGATGAAAAGTGAACACCAAAGACCAAATGTTATGAAATGAGAAAAAAAAAAAAATCTAACACTTACAGGCTAATTACCTTTAAGCCTACCAACAAACTCCTGCTTAAAGAGGACTTAACCTAAACAGATTTCAATATCCTCAAATAAAATTCATAATTAGCCTTCACTAGTACAAACATGCCTTAGTTGTAAAATCAAATACATTGTTAGTTTTGCAGCAAATAATGAGCTATCACCAGACCAGTTGAATTCACACACCTAATGCAAATCGTCCATTTGGCCTTTGCAAATATTGGTCCACATGTTAACTAACTGAAAAATTTTGTTAGAAACACGAAAAAAGTACTGAACTGTTATGTAATATCATCCTCTTACATGGCAGTGAATGCTGGAAAATCTCCTCACAGATGAAGAGGAGACTTGAGGCAGCAGAAATGTAGTTCTACAGGAGGATGCTGAGAGTATCATGGACCGAACATGTTAGCAACAATGTTTTAGAGAAAAACTAGAGGGCTTTGAAAATCTGTTACAGGACAGACTGAAGGCAAGGGGGAAAGAGAAAAACTATGCATAACTTAGTGAGCTTGGGTAAAAGGTTAGTGGAGCAAGGTTTAGGGAAGATTACCAAAAAAAAAAAAAAAAAAAAAAAAAAAAAAAAATTTTTTTAGAAAGAACCACAAAGGGCAGGACATTTTAGAGAGCAATGATCACCTGCATCCTGGAGGAACATGGTACATAGAAGGAAAAGGTGTTGATTGATTCATGCTTACAAACTCTGATCAGTTCTGCCTACATAGTCAGCACCACACCAACATTTGAAATGATAAATTATCAAACATATACAATGGGTAGGCAAAAGAAAAACAAATCATGAGTTAACCATTAAAAAGAGACTTGACATTAACAATCCTTTTGACAAGTATTTCTATAGCAGAGTAAAACCACTGCAAAAAGTCTATTTCAGAATAGATCAAGCCAAAAAACACACACACAAGACTATTAAAAAAAAAAAAAAAAAAAAAAAAAAAAAACTATTTTAAAAAAACACACACAAAAAAAAACTATTTTAAAAACTATTTAAAAAACACACACACACAAAAAAGACTATTTTAAAAAACACACACACACACAAGACTATTTTAAAAAACACACACACACACAAAAGACTATTTTAAAAAACACACACACACTATTTTAAAAAAACACACACACACAAAAAGACTATTTTAAAAAACACACACACACACAAAAGACTATTTTAAAAAACACACACACACAAAAAGACTATTTTAAAAAACACACACACACAAAAGACTATTTTAAAAAACACACACACACACACTATTTTAAAAAACACACACACACAAAAAAGACTATTTTAAAAAACACACACACACAAAAAGACTATTTTAAAAAAACACACACACACAAAAGACTATTTTAAAAAAACACACACACACACAAAAGACTATTTTAAAAAAACACACACACACAAAAGACTATTTTAAAAAAACACACACACACAAAAGACTATTTTAAAAAAACACACACACACAAAAGACTATTTTAAAAAAAACACACAAAAACTATTTTAAAAAACACACACACAAAAGACTATTTTAAAAACACACACACACAAAAGACTATTTTAAAAAAACACACACACACAAAAGACTATTTTAAAAAACACACACACACAAAAAAACTATTTTAAAAAACACACACACAAAAAGACTATTTTAAAAAACACACACACACAAAAAGACTATTTTAAAAAACACACACACACAAAAAGACTATTTTAAAAAACACACACACAAAAAGACTATTTTAAAAAACACACACACAAAAAGACTATTTTAAAAACACACACACAAAAAGACTATTTTAAAAAACACACACACAAAAAAACTATTTTAAAAAACACACACACACAAAACTATTTTAAAAAAACACACACTATTTTTAAAAAACACACACACACACAAAAGACTATTTTAAAAAACACACACACACAAAAGACTATTTTAAAAAACACACACACACAAACACACACAAAAGACTATTTTAAAAAAACACACACACAAAAAAGACTATTTTAAAAAACACACACACACACACACACAAAAAAAGACTATTTTAAAAAAACACACACACACAAAAAGACTATTTTAAAAAAACACACACACAAAAAGACTATTTTAAAAAAACACACACTATTTTAAAAAAACACACAAAAAAAAGACTATTTTAAAAAACACACACACAAAAAGACTATTTTAAAAAACACACACACATTTTAAAAAACACACACACAAAAGACTATTTTAAAAACACACACACACAAAAAGACTATTTTAAAAAACACACACACACACAAAAAAGACTATTTTAAAAAAACACACACACACAAAAGACTATTTTAAAAAAACACACACACACAAAAGACTATTTTAAAAAAACACACACACACAAAAGACTATTTTAAAAAAACACACACACACAAAAGACTATTAAAAAAAAAACACACACACACACAAGGCTATAAAAAAAAAATTAAGTTTAACTGTAGATCATTACCGAACAAATGAACAACCTTTTCTGAACAACTGCAGGGACACTTTAATGAATGCTAAACTCCTGAATATTTTTCAGCTAACAAAATTATAAGGATTTCACTCATGAATACAATTGTTGGAATACTCACAGCGATATTAGAAAAGGCAGTTCCAGTTGTCCACATGAAAAGACGAGGGTGCTTTTCCATGATTTGATATTTGGAGAATATGGCCCAAAGAAGAAGAAACGCAAACAAAATTAATGATGACACTAAAGGACGCATTGCTTCTTTGAAAGACCGCATTTTCCCTGTCTTGTCTCTGTAGGATCTGGAAAAGACAAATGATTCAGTGAAATTATATATATATATATATATATATATATATATATATATATATATATATATATACACACTTTATCTTAAGTATTGGCTTGTAGGGATACTGCTATTTATCTAACCTGGGGAGGGAGGAGAGACATTGAGATTCATATCTTTTTCGAGAGTATTTGCATGTAACAAACTCTGCTCTCAATTCCTCAATCAGAGCCACAGTCTATTATATATATATATATATATATATATATATATATATATATATATATATATATTATATATATATATATATATATATGCACACACACACATGTGCATGTAGTATTTCACAATTTTTTAAACAAAATCATCAGGCACAAATCAAGGACCACAAATGATAAGAGTAATGGAAATTATATTTATTTAAAAAGGTAAAAGGATAACATTTTAGAATTTTCAACCATTTAGTCTCAAACATGTACCAAAAATGTTAAGAGAAGCTCAAGAAAACATGCTCCAGGTGTCCATAGTTCAGTTGAAGGTGCTGTTGAATGCAAAATTGTTGATAATGCATGCATATTCCTCTTGGGTGATTGTTCAAATCTTCTCATTGATGGGTAAAGGTTTGCCCTGGTAGATGTTGTCCTTGAGGAACCCCCAGAGGATGAAATCCAGGGGGTTCAGGTCAGGCAAGTGAAGTGCCCATTCCACTTCAACTTTGCTGCTGATGAGACACTTCCCAAACTTTCCAGAGTCATGCCATGGTAACATTAGCAGTGTGAAGAGGAGCACTTTCCTGTTGGAACCACTGTTCCTCCTCATCAATGTCCTCACACTCCTTGAGCTCTCCCCATCTGAAAGGCCACTGCTTTGTTTCAATAATTGTGAAACACCCTACATGCGCATGTGGTGTGTGCCTATGTATTCTATAGGAAATTTTTCCTGCTTGAGGCTTAATTTTACTTTGTGTTGATTGATTTCAAATTATATAAATTCTTTTCAGTTGTAGTCATTATTGAATTAGTCGGTAGTAATAAGTGCCTATTTTAATTACAGTTGTCCCCAGATGACAACCACCTTGATTATTATGTGTGGGGTACAGTTGAGCAAGAGACCAACAAAACTCCTTGTAACACCAAAGATGAACTGAAGGTAAGGTTTATGGCAGCATTCACCAACTTAAACAAGGAGACCATCCAGAAGAAATGCAGGAGATTCCAATGTCCTCTGGAGGCTATGGTTGAAGCCAATGGTGGTTTTATTGAATAAATTTACTCTTTAGTATTTCAAAATGGGATTTATGATGGAAATAAAAATTTAGATCATTTTTGTTAGTTGATTTTTGGTAGACACTAAAGTTGGAGCTACTGTGAATATGGTGTAAAATTTAATGTCCACCAAAAATGATCTCATAAATTTCCATTCCCATAATCACAATAAAAGTCTGGAATAATCATTGGATTCTACTTAAGAACACTCAGAATATGCATCCCACAATATATATCTTAATTTCCATTGAGATATTCTTTTGGATTTATTTATATTAAGCAAACAGCATAGTTTTTGGCATTTATCATATTCTTGCATAAAGTGCGAGAATTTTTTAAAAATGTCATAAAGCAAGCATTTTACAATAATGATTAAGTGTTAAAAATATAAATAAAAAAATTCTTACTTGTAAATATTGTAAAATGTTGGTGGAAATGTCAAACCAATAAATCCCACTGTAAAACAAAAGTTCAGAAACAAATAAAAAAAGAATCTGACCATTTAATAAGGGAATTAGATTTTATTCTAGTTTTAACAGAGACAAGCTTTTCAGAATTTCAATCCATTTGAATGAGAAGAGGAAGATTTCACAAACAGGACATGATAATTATCATACAAATGTTAATTACAGAAAAAAAAAAATCATTCTGGTGTGAAGAGAGTACAAACAGGTCAAAGGGAATGATTTGTAATTAGCAGTTACAATTTATTTTGGCTAATTTATATTTAAAGATTATTTTGAAACCAGCTGCCCAATTGAACTAGAAATTAAATAAGATATTTTAACAGTACTGCACTAACAGAAATTTTGCTACAGTGTGCCGCTTAGGTCTTTAATAGTAACAAATACAGATATACAGAAGTTGGATTACCATGTGTGTGTATGTAGAATAGGTCAACACACACCAAGCTAGGTATTGTTGTAGTTTCCATAGCAAGTAGGTTTTCCCCACAGGACAGGGTTATAAACCCCTACATTGGTTGCCAAACAAGTCCTGCCCTGCTATTAAGACCAAGCTGGGGATAAAGGAAAGAGGGTATTTGTACAAAATTGAAAAGTGCCCACAGCTAGAATGTGAACACAACTCTCCAATTCCTCTTCCTGAATCAATAGGTGCTAAGTTACATACACATCCATGCAAGATCTTGTATACTTATTACTTCAAACATTATTTTTAGTGGATGCTCCATTTTTTAAAACGGCGTTTATTTCATCCATTTCACTCAAGAAAACATGCTCTCCATTTGAAGTAATAAAATAGGTTTGATTAAAAAAAATAAGATCTATTGCTTCTTTAGAAATTTATATACATTTCGAAAGAATCAATGGAATTTTTCATTATATATATATATATATCCCAAACATCCACAGTTATGACATAGCAGTTCCTCTTAAGAACTATAGTTGCCTAACTAGTAATGTAATCTAATTGAGTACAAAGCGAAAACATTCACCATTACAGAAAAATTTGACAGAAAGCATAAAATACAGACAATCACTACTAAAAAAGTTTAGCATACCAAAATATCAATCCTTAATTTGGTTAAAATATTTTGGATGGCGTGGGTAGAGCCAAGTGACACTTATCTATCACTGTGGACAAACCAACAATGAATAAGGCAATTCATATTTGTCGTCACAAAAATGACCAATAATTTTTTTTTTTAATTTTTTTTTTACTTACAATGTGCAATTATTTCTATCATTACTGATGCTGGCTGGTTTATAATTGGTACTGTGAATTTCCACATTTCATAACCACCAAAAAATGTTACCAAATAAAACAGTGTCATTGCCTGAAATTGAAGAAAATATTTTTTTTGTTAGAAAACAGAAAATTCAGTCAGAAAAATATATTGGTTCTTTTCAAATGAAAATGCAAGATGGACTAGGGTGTCTTATGTTAGTCCAGGGCCAATGCATACTACTCCACCAAACACCCACCACCAACTAGGGAAGATGAGGGGCTGATTTGTTCTTTTGCTTTTTTTCTACCTATATTTACATATTACAAACTCAAGTAAGATCTACTGATTATTAAAGGATGAAAAATTTGAAGTGATTTTCTTTTTCTAAATACTTTAATTTTTTTCACTCATGCTAAGTCTTGAAAAAAGCCCTATATAAAATTCAATACTTTTTATCTATAATGTTGAATGTGTTAAAATACAAGTTTAAGAAAAATTTTGCAAAACTTTCGTTATTTAAGGTGGAATGATCTATTATGACAGGTCTCTAATTTGTATTTAGATACATTGTATTTATTTTCAGATTTTCTAGTTGAATTGTTCACCTACATATGATCCATTATTGTACACACGTACGCTGTCCCCACCCCAAATAAAAATAAAGACAGTGCTGCTGCTCTCTTATCCAATCCAAACTACAGTGAGTATTGGCTATCCCAGAATTGTCACTTTAGTCAAAAGCTGCCAAGAGAAACTTGTCAGTCATAAAATGGGCAAATTCAATCCCATTTGAATGTATGGTATATTTTCGTTTTAATTCAATACTCTTCTCTTGATTTGCTGCAATATGTTACCTTTGCTTGAACATTTGTTCACACACATATATATATATATATATATATATATATATATATATATATATATATATATATGATATATATATGTAAGGGCATGCATGCACACACAAATTGTCTTCAAGTCGAGCAATAATGTTGATCTGTTTAATTTTTTTTTCTTTGTGTTTTTGAAACTTTCAAATAAGTTGCACATCAAGGCAAAAAAATATATTGTGGATAAATTGTCCAAAGTTAGATTACTTTGGACAATCTCCATCAATACCAGGAAATACATTTTGTAAACATCCCAAAGTTTGTTATTTAGCATTTTATAAAAAAGGTTACATTTCAAATGTTTTGTATAGAAAGGTTTGATAGAGATTAAAACCAGACGAATGTGCATTAAACATGAATTTAAACAAATATGAATCAAATCAGACAAATGATAAAATAAGTAAAAAGAAACATTTATGAATTTAGCATGTCTCACTTTCAGCATCAGACATATTTTCAGAAAACAGGAAATATGTGTTCCTTATTTTTATATATATATATATATATATATATATATATATATATATATATATATAATATATACAAATACACACTGTCCCAAAAGTTACAGAGGTATTTAAAACTGCCATAACATGTCAGTTTTCATCATTTTTATCCCCACCTCAGATTAACAATGGAAAAATTATCTTTGAAAAACATTTACAACTGAACCAAAATCTGGGAATTTTATTTTGGATTTAAATCAAACTTTCATTAAATTATTAAATTTTATTGCCACCATTTTCTTCAGACCTGACACTCGCAATTATTTTCTTTGGGGATATCTTATGTATGGGGGGCATACATCAAAAAACCACAGACAATTCAGCAACTCAAGGCTAACATTTGTACAGAAATTTGGGGCTTGCAACTAGAGTTATTGAACACTTATCAAGAAATCTATAAAAAGAACCCATCTGTGTGATGTTGAAAATGGAAGATCTTGACATAATTTTTCATTAGATGAGAAAATTTCATGTTCTGTATCAAACTATTTTTTGAATAATAAAGAGTTTTAAATACTGAGGTGGGTTCTGGGATATTCCGTTTGTACTCAGGCAATTTCAACCTCTCCAACTACTAAAAGGAATTTCTTAACAGAGGGATGAACTGATATCTACTGATTTGAACAGTCACAGAAAGGCTAAGAAAAAAAATAAAAAATAAAAAAAATTGAAATACTCTACAGAAAATTGACTAAGACAGACATCACAAGTCACCTTGGATTTCAAAGCTTAGCTAAATCCAAAGGATTACAAAAAAAAAAAAAAAAAAAAAAAATATAGGAAACAAACCCAGTGCTTAATCAAAGTATGAAAACTAGCCAATAACAAATTGAAAAATTAAGTCATTCAGTTGAATGCAAAATCTAATTTTTTTGCTATTTTAAACAAGATTGACTACAATGCAAAAAACAAACTATTCTTGACAAATAAGTTAAATTCACAAAAATTCCACTAGCTCTCTAAAGACACATAAATAAAATTGCTACAACCAGTAAGATTAAAATCCAAGCCATCAAGCTCAGAAATTGTTGGGAAATATTAATCTGGCTATGGCACATTATGACAATGGCCATCAACTCATTTAAATGAGTATGACCATCACAAACATTCATTAATGGTCACAAGACTGACAATGGTTCTTAAAGTTAGCAAGCAATTTGCAACATTTATTGTACAGACAGCAGATGTAGGGCATCAATTGTTGGGGAGTTTGTACCTCCCGGATTTACTGGTTATGGATTTTCAAGTGTCTGGTCAGTTCAGTTTGACAAGAACATGACTTACCCCAACTTGTGTGTATAGGTAAGATCATTGTTGATGTATGCTCAGTATGTCAATGTCATTCATGCTAAAAAGAAACCTATATAAAACAACCTTCAAGAAAATTTAGGTAAACTTCACTTATGAACTTAACAGAATCCCTTTCGTCGGTATTTTAGGAAACATTAACTGTTTCAACTTTGACTTCACTGCATTAAATCCACAAACAAAAGTCATCTTAATTACATGAATGAATATCCTCAGATAAAAAAAAAAAAAATAGTGGCTATTCATAAATATGATTAACTAAGCAGAAATCATGATAATAATCAGATAATTTAATAAAGAATTGAGAAACATACAATCATCAACACTTGCCCCATCTATGGTGTTAAAACTAGCAAATAAAATTAGAAATTTTTTTTTTTTTTTTTAATACTCTGAAATATTCACTGTATTAAATAAAATGTCAGACAGCATTTCAAAATATGTTCAAAGAATTCAATATATTTGGTTCTGGCACTATCAAGATCTGTGAAACCGTTCTGATATTATTATAAATCCGGGTGGTCACCAAAATAACATTTAAAGATCGCACTGAATGAAAAAGCCAGGAAAGAAAAACTTTTGGCTTGAATCAGCTACCCAGTGAGAGAAGTGTCCCCACAGAAATACATACAGCCTGATGCAGTCATTCATTATAATTTTTGTGACATTCATCCAGAAAAATTTTATATCCAAACATTAATAGCAACAATATACTAATACCTACTTCCTGATAATGATCAAAAAGCCTCAAACAAAAGCAGAACAAAACATGAACTTGATATAATTTATCTACAAGTTTTATCTGGATGTTCAAGTTAGTTGAAAATTTGAGAAATACAATAAAAAAATTAAACAGATTGCATTTGAAAGTAATATTTGTTTGAATTAATATACAAGATATCACGGTTTGATCCTGAATGCTTCACCACTCTGCTAAAAAGTGTGTCAGAGTTCAGCATGTCAATTTCCATCTTTTAAGGAAACGGCACATTCTCACCAAGATTTGTCACAAAAACCCAGATCTGCTCAGTTTCGAATACAAAACTGAAATGAAGCAATTTCCAAAAGAATTAATGGATGTATTTTTAATCCAATATTTTTATAACTTCAAACATTATTATAGCAGATACAAGTACTGTAAATAGATACCCTATTTTTACTTTAAAGTGTGTATTATGGCTATGAACCTGCTGTGTTCAGACAGTGGTGGAAGTAAAAATAAAAATGAGGTATTTCAAATATCATATCCACAAATGTCAGATTGTAAAACAAAAAATACATTAATTTTTTACAAATTGCCTTGTTTACATTTCAGAGCAAACATAGGCTTCCAAGAAAAATATTGTAGTGACAAAGTCCGTTTTCCTTAAATAATATATATATATATATAAAAAACACTGTGTGTGCATGCAGCAGCTTACATCTTTATTTCAAATTATTGCACATATTCCTTTATGCATCATTACAGACAAGAAACATTTATTTCTATAATTTTCTGTTTTAGCATTATAAAATAGATGTTGGCATCAAGTGCAGAATATATCAAAAGAGCATTATACACTGATCCTAAATTACAAGTCAGAAAAAATGTTTTTAAAATTTAAAAAAAAAAAAAAAAAAAAAATTCCTCAATATGGCTACTATACTTAGTAAATTTTCCATTCCCCAAGTGAAGTTAAGAACAGAATTGGCAAAACAATTACACAAGAAAGATTAATGGTAATGTCTTTAGATCAAAAATTAAGTGAACTTGATACTCACTGGCTCTAATACAAATTTAATACCCATGAGGGATGTAAAACTAAATTCAATATTTCAATAGTTTTAGTTGAAAATTACAGAACATAAAAAAGGGGTATGTTTAGGACAGCAAAAGTAGAATATAAAACTGAATGCTACATCTAAAGTTTCAGCCAATGGATCAAGTTTTTTTTTTTTTCTTTTTCTTCATAACATAAAATATCATGCAAAAGTTTTTGGTTACTATTATTATTTATTGTAAATGTCACATAATAGAAGTTTACAAAAATTTGTAATATAATTATTATTATATGAATAAGGGATTGTCTTGCTTTGCATTTTCTACAGATGAAACATTGGCGTTATTTCCACACTAAATTATCATAAGTGTGTTAATGTGTCAAGTGCAGTGATAACTAAACACATACATATATATATATATATATATATATATATATATATAAATAGTTTATGAAAAACTAGGTAATCCATATGTACATGGAACCTTAAAGTGGTCTGTTTTTATTTAAATTAAAATTATATATATATATATATATATATATATATATATATATATAAGACAGTCTCTTATACAGGTTATCACCTGAAGGTTTTGGAATCAGTATATATTAAATCCTACCAACCATCTCTCTGTAAGCAGGAGTGGTCGCTGAGCTTAAAAGGTAATTAGCCTTTAATGTTATATTTTTTTTGTTTGCATATAACATTAGTCTGGGGTTGTATATTTTTTAGTTGTTTATAACCGTTATATTTCAGTATTACCAAACAGTGGTGTGTGTGTGTGAGAGAGAATTTCAGAGTATATCTATAAAAGGACAATATGAAAAAAGACAAAGTTATTGTAGCCGATGCGTTTCATCCTGAGGGACTTTAGTGTAAATGTAAGGACGAGCACTCCTATACAAATACGTGTCACAAAATAAATCCTTACATTTGCCTTATCTCAGGAGACAAAACGCATCAGCTACGGTAAGTTTTCCTTTTGTTTTTTTTCATATATATTAAACTTTTCACCCCAAGCAAGGTGGGAGTGCCACTAGAACACAAGGGGTTACAGAATTTGGGAACAAGAGTAAAAGAGGCATGAAAGAGGAAAGGATGAAGAGAAGGACAAAGAATAGTTCAAGCCATCTGGAGATGTTGATTGACATTGCATTTGAATAGCTGCAGATTATAGCTATCAGGGAAGCAAGTAAGAGGAAGGGAGTTCCACAGGCAGGAAGCTATTGGAGTAGAAGAGATGGCTACATTTAACAGTTTCAACAGTGAAAGGGTGAGACTGAGATGCTGACCTAGTCGCATGTTTAAATTTATGCTATATATATATATATATATATATATATATATATATCCTCTTTTTGCTATGAATAGTCACTTAATGTTTGCTTTTATTGTTCTAAAGTTTTGTACTTCTGTAAAAATATTTTAATTAACTTGTAGCAGGTTTTCTTTCAAAATTGCTAAGTTTTATCACCTGATATAAAAAGGTACCAACTAATCACAGAAAATATAGTAAAAAAAAAAAAAAAAAAAAAAAAAAACACCATCAGCAGGAGAGACACGCATAACATACACAAAAATAAATAAAAAAGAAAATTAAAAAAAAAAAAAAGGAGATAATACTTACCAACTGACTAGCATCATATCCCCAAGGCAAGAAGAGCACACCTGTATTGTATTTCTCCCAATGTGAGCTGATGAAACTTAACATGGTTCCCAAAAGGATAGAATAAATGTGAAAGACTCCCACACTGTAGTCACCACGGCCAAAGACAGAATAAAGGGCAATAGGTAAAAAGAGGGTAGCCCAACTGTCCAGACCATGATCAAATAACTCACCCAATGGGGTACTGGATCGAGTTCTTCGAGCTTGTTTGCCATCTATGCCATCTGGAAAAGAAAATGACACTTATTTTCGATTCATATTTGTAATTTTGCCATCAAGAAGCAATTAAAATCAAAGATCCAACAGAACTAAAACAGTCAATTCCAGATAATTAAACCAAAATTAAAAAATAACCAATGAAAAAATTACTTATAAAGATTACATAATTGAATTGCTTTTCACACACAGCAATTTTAATTTCACAGACAAGGCTTTGTAATTGTAAAACAATGATGATAAATTCAAAAACTGCTTAAACCAGGCAGCACAATACAGTGTAGCAATATCAGCCATTCCCTTATATGGAAACATTCAGCATTCATTAATCTGCGACACTGGGACCTCTGGGGATTGATTTAAAAGAAAAAAGAAAAAAAAAAAAAAGTCTACTAACTGAATGATAATTGTTGAAATTCACAGGAAGATGGATTGAAAAGTTAAGAAAATTAAAACAAAATGAATGTAAGAAAAGAAAAGGAAAGAAAAAAGAAAAAAAATCAGGTTTTAAAATAATTCCAAGGAGAACACAAATTTAACTAGACAGAATGCAGTAAGATTGAGCAAAACCAAGACTACACATCTATCCCCACTTTGTGCCAATGAGAAAGAGGCCATTAATGGATCCAAAAAGATATCAAATAGAGAAAAATAAAAAAAAAAGTATGTTGTCAATAAAGAAATCCAGGTGGTCACCAAAATAACATTTAAAGATCACACTGAATGAAAAAGCCAGGAAAGAAAAACTTTTGGCTTGAATCAGCTACCCAGTGAGAGAAGTGTCCCCACAGAAATACATACAGCCTGATGCATTCATTCATTATAATTTTTGTGACATTCATCTAGAAAAATTTTATATCCAAACATTAATTTGTATTCCTTTGGATACAAGTGATAAAGAAAAATTAATTTTTAATTCAGAGTGACCTTAGAAAAAAAAAAAAAGGTTGTGTTGTCTTGTTCGTAAAAAAAAAAAAAAAAAAAAAAAATTACATAGGGGAAAGATAAACTTTTGTCTTTATTTGGGAATAATTTTCTTTCCTTTCCTACGAGTGGTCTAGTTGGTAAAGAAATCACAGCATGGGACAAGCTGATAAAGAAAGATTAAGGACTGAAAATCCATATCATTTTTACATATGCCATCTGGAAGTTGGATTCAGCACAAAGATAGTGTACCAGCCCTCGGAGGGGGCTGTAGTTAGATGATCAGAAAGTGGGAGAAGGAAGAGAGATCAGCCCCACCTATATGGAATGATTGTGCAATAAGATACATGAAGAGAGTTGGAATTAAGGGGCAGCTTGATTCCTTTGACTACTCTCAAAAGGGGGGACTGAACAAGCCCAAATTTGGAAAACCAAATGAGTAAATATATTTTGAGAATATGGAATTTTAGGAAAAAAAAGTTGATGGTAACAGTGGAAGGCAACCAAACCCAGACCATGATCACATGTTAACCAATGAGGAGTCAGCTACATGGTAACCATGGTGGTCTGAAGAAACTTTAAGACCAACCATGATATTGACTGGATATATTATCCAACTCTTTCTGAATCCTCTGCACAAATGCCAAGCAGTACAGCATGCAGTTTCCAAATTTCTAGCAGAGTGAGTTATGCCACAGTGCTCTTTTTCTCACTGACCCTACTATTGTGTAGTTGACAAAAAACATATATACACCAAATTAAAAATATAAAATGGCAACAATTTACCCATTGCATCCTGTACATTTCAATCCTAGTTATTTAATATCGTAACATCAACATTTGTGATTTATGGGATTTACATTCAAGAAAGCTCTTCTGTAATGTCACTGTGGTGTCCTGCTGAGGTCTCAATTGTTTTATTAGCTTTTAACAAAGAAATCAGAAATGGTCAAACTGAAAATTTAGAATTTGGGTTGAAACTTGTTATTTTATTAATGATGGATATAAAAAAAAAAAAAAAAAAAAAAAAAAAAAAAAAAACCAAACACACAATACACACACCAGTAGTTCAAATTATAAATACATGCCACTTAAGCCATACAATTTTTTTTTTTTCTCCACAATGATATTCACCCTGGACAAGAACCAAGAGCCACTTGAGATAGATACAGGATTACACAAGAAAAAGATTTTAGAAGGAACCAGAAACGCAACCCTATACAATAAACAAGGGATAAGCCTCTACTCCTGTTCAAAAAACTGGGGAGAAGTGTAAACCAGATAAGCAAACCTATCTACTCCTATTGAGGATGGGGGGGGGGGGTCATAATCCCAAAAGCTATGGTTTCTCACTTCAGACAAGCCAGTCAAGAATATGTTTAGCCAGTTAAGAATAGCAGATTTGATTAAATGTGGCTACCAGACAAGGGATTATACTGTAAATAATAATTCTGATAATATGAGAGCATGTGTGTGTGTGTATATATATATATATATATATATATATATGCAGGTTTCATTAAAGACAACAGAGAAAGTACTACAATTAAGCTTTGTTTTTTTTGACACAGTGTTTAGGAACTGTCCAAATGTTCTGTAATTCCAAGTACTTTTGACTATACTTTTTAGCCATTATCAAAGATGATTTTATTTTTTCAATTTAATTGGGTGTGTGCATGTTTTTAATATTATAGAGAGGTTTTATTTTCCGAACACAGCACATTGTGGGCATGTTCGTAGTTAATGATATTAAGTGTTGGCTTTTTTCTTTTTATTATTAATGCTTCCATTTTTAATTTTTTTTTTTAACACAGGTGTAGATATCCGTCTCTCTCTCTCTCTATATATATATATATATATATATATATATATATATATATACACACACACACACATACATACATACATACACACACACAAAAACTTTAAAAAAGCAAAAATTAAAATCCAGAAGAAAAGAGAAATAACTATGGAATGAAAGCATTCAAAATAGCAGGTAAAGACACATTAGATTTATATCCCTGTATTATTATTATTATTAAGCAGAATTATACATTTGCTGAAGACCAATGAAGAATAATGGATGCCATTTTTTTTTTTTTATCTTAATCTGTGACCAGAGTTTATGAATTATCAATAAAGCATTCATAGCAATGGGGTTTTCAATGACATCCATTTTAAGCAGCAAGTTAAAATAAATACAAACTGCGCCATAATAATTTAGAGTATAAATATGTAACCATATTTCAATTGATCTAGTTACATGAATATTTAAAAGGGAGAAAAAATACGAGGGAGGATATGCAGAGGTAGGCATCAAAAGCATGATACTTTATGACTTTACCATAAAAGACTGGTGGCAACAAACAGAGTCTGTAAAAATGCTTTAACAGTTTTTAACTTAAATAACAATATATACTTGATGTTTTCATTCTTGATTTATTTATGCTTAGCAACATATCAACGCCTGTAGATTATTTAAGTGTAAGTGTGTGTGAGATTTATTTTTAAGGTTCAGCTTGTATATAATTAAATTTTGCATGATTCTGATTTCTTTTAAGTACAGTCTTATACTGCTTTGGTTAGTGTTATTAAGTTGTACTTAAGCTATTTGTTTGTTAATGATTTGAGCAGATAAAAAAAAAAAAACTGCAGCTTACTAACAAGTTTCATGGTGTATGGCCAACAAAGCAATAATTTTTGAATTTTTGCATTGCAAGCAATATATATATATATATATATATACACACACACACACTTCGAGGTGGTGTAATGTTTAGCAAGCTTTTCTCTCTAGAACAATTTTGACTGAGTAGAGAGTTCGATCCTCACTGAGTGCCCCCTTCTTTCAGCCTTGTGCCACATCTAAGCTATGCTTGGAAAATCTATATATATATATATATAATAAAAGGAAAAGTGATTGCTGAAATATTCTCAGCCTGACCCACTTCAAAATCTAACCAAATGATCAAAAGTTTGTAATCTTCTAAGTCAAGATGAAGAGCATTTTCCAGCAAGTACACCACCCGACTGACCTGCATATTTAAATTTCTGGGCAGAAGAGAAATTTATCCAGATACCAAAAATGCTCACTGACACTTTAAGAGAGATATCAAATTCTAGCAAAATAATTTGAATATCAAGTATTTCCATGCATTTTTATGGTTTTTATTTTATTTCCCTACATAAAAAAAAAAAAGCTTTGTAATCTATAAAGAATTATTCCAGAATAAAATACCGAATCATTTAAGAACTTTGAGAATGCTATCAAAACATTGATTTTAAAAAAAAAAAAAAAAGTGCGTTATGTTGGAGGTGGAATACAAATTATAGTCATTGCAACTCAATAAAAATGGAGAAATACTAAAGAGACAGGAATATTAGAGCATTAAGAAGAAAACAAAAAGCAAAAGCTCTTTGATTTTTGGGAGAGAGCCATATGAGGTTGGTTTTACTAAGCCATCATTAAAACCTATATTAAAATTCAACTAATGACCAAAGAAATAATTTCAATCTATTTAGCAGGGAAATTAAGAAGAGTGATATTAGAATATAAAGTTCATTTTCTGAACAAGAAATATTTGATATTACTAAACCTGTTAAGAGAAACAAAATTATCTTGAATTGACAAATTAGAATTTTATAAAGAGACTTCAAGATTTTAGATGTGAAATAGCACATAGGAACCAATCTCTAAACAGATCAGAAAATCAGAATATTTGTGCTAATATAAAGGAATTTATTTGAATATGTGCACTTTTATCTTAACTGCTCCATTGTATTTCTACTGTAAAAAGCATTTTATTTTAGTTGCACTAAAACAAATTTGAAAGTAATTTTGCAAAAATAACAAGAATTATCCTAAACTTTTTTTCTTTTTAATATTTATGAAAGATCTTTAAGCCTTATTTTTTATTTTTGTTCTGAGAACAAAAAAAAAAAAAAAAAAAAAACACTAAGAAAAGGTAGAATCATTGACCTTGGAAGTGAATGGCCATCTCAAAAGTTAGATATTAAATTTAAATAACATCAAATAGGATAAGTCAGAGATTAACTCCAAGGATTATGAAATTGTACACATTAAGGGGAAGGGGGATTAGGATTTCATTGAATTTGCTCAGAGTGCATGAAAACTAATAAAATATGCTTTAGAAAAAGAGGTTTAAAAAAAAAAAAAAAAAAAAAAAAAAAAAATGGCGTTGTACTGAATAAATAAAGCTTCATCCTTAAAATATTGCCACATGCTTCATCACCTGAGGTGGTGCTCTTAATCTTGCAAATGTCAGATAAAATAGGATGACAAATTAGCAATTGAAACAGTTTCACTAATCAAAATATTTAATTCCGAATCATTCTAAAGTCAGTCACTTTAAAATTTTATGAACAAACATGTAAATAATATAAAAAAGACCAGAAACTGGGCTTTCTATTAGATATTACATTTATGGATACAAATCCAAAATGGTGTGAATTCAACCATGATGATTGCAAGAATTTTGAAGCGTCGATATGCTTCCCACACCTAGGTCGAGAGACTAAGACCACCTGTAGAAGAACCCTAAGCCAATGTGTGACATGTGTTCCCATGATGTCATTCTTCCCACTGCCTCTTAGAATCCAAGCTGCCATGCCCACCCGCTTCTAATAAAAATGAACAAGAAAAAGAAATCCTTTTTATTGATACCATTTTATATAGTAGTGTGGGGACCCTGAGACAACAATGCAACACAGGAAAGCAAGAAATCAGAAGGGAATTCCTCAGATAAAAAGTGCAAAAAACTATTAGAATAGAAGTGACTGTTGCATCTAGTAAGTTCAACAGTAAAACAGTGTGACCTAAGTTGCCAATCTAGTAGCAAGCTTAAATTTATTCAGTTGAGGCACTAAGGAGAACAGCTCATCAGAACAATTGCCATGAAAATATTTGTAGAAAAGACAGAAGGAAAACATCACAATTGGGAGAACGTAATTGAAGTAGAGATATCATGTCATGATTGATTACACTACAGAACCTTCTTGTTTCCTCAGGTAACCTGCATACCTACTTTATCATTGGTAGTAGGTTAGATGCAGCAATATAGCCTCAGCCTCCACAAGATAGCTTGACATTAAGTCAGGCTTCTTGCTGAGAGACTATTTGCGAATTAATGAATATAACATGCATAAGCAAAAAACTTATGACTTTTATACTTAATTTTTTAGATTCAAGTCACCTTTCAAAAGGGTCTTGTTGCCTAACAAAAGGTTTAATGACTAGAAACATACCAAAAGAAAAGTTAAACACACAAAAATAAAAGATTGACTTTTCTTTTTGCAGCTTTTAAAGCCAGAAAATATAGAAAAAGCAGACCACTAACCTTCACCTACCATGATGGATGTTCACTCAAGGAGGCTCCTCATCGTGAAGATCTATTGGACTTCAATCTCCATCCAGATCTCAAGTGGAACTATCACTAAAGAACCAGATTGGACCAAAAATGGTGCTGCCCAGTTTTTGCTTGTTGGTCTTAATAGAGTTCATAAGCATGACCTTGTATTTAATGAATTATTTCCCACCCTACAACCTCTTTCCCTACAGATGAAACATCACAAGCCTCTTGCTAGTCTATCACTATTTCCATGGCAAGTTTTCGGATGAGCTACGTTCTTGGTTCCATCATCCCTGAACTTTGCAGCTAGGAGTCGCCATCCCATGTACAAAAGAATGAATCATCCTCATTCCATTTATATTCCATTAATAAGAAGTTCCACTTGGGCAGCTTCTTCCCAAAGACTGATGCTCTGCAGAACGGGCAGGATAATCCCCCTCCCACCCGATCACTACAATCCTGAACTCTTCAAGTCTAGAATTCACCATTATTTTTCCTACATAACCTCATGAACTACACTTCTTGCATTTTCTCACCCTTATTCATCACCACACAAGAACTCTCTAGCTTGATTGACTCATGGGCTTTGTACTGGGTGAATATTAGTTAAAGAAATACACTGCATACATTTATATATTAAAATACAAATAAAAATTAAAGTGTATATGCTCACACAATATGTAATTTCTTTAAATCAATTTTTCAAGTCAAGATTGAATTACAATTCAGAGAATTTAATAAACTTTATGACACAGAGAGAAGCTATTTTCTAATCTATCAATTTACAGATCTAAGGTATGTAAATTGTTTGGTGCTCGAGTCATTTCAGTGAAAACCTCTGAGTGACAGTTCCATTATATTACTTGCAGATTTAAAAGATGACATTTAACACAAAGGACTGCAGCCTGATGCTGATTTTAGATTTCAAATAAGGTGAGAATAATAAGAATGTTGGCCCACTAAGTCTGTATTTGAGGATTGAAAAATTACTTTGAGATTGGATTGGTCAAAAGGTTTGTTTTTATTAAATGGTAGCAGCAGCATTTAGTCTTAGCTTCATTCAAAAAGTTTCTGATTATAATGTGACGGCTGTTTCAACAGAATTTGTTTCAATTTGTCAAGATTGAAAAAGATGTCAAAATAAGATAAACAATATTTTCAACATATGCTTTTAAAGGAAATTTGATTCAAATGCATAAAGATCTGTGCAGATTATGAAAACTAATATAATAAAAAGCAGTTTGCAAAGTTTCAAGAATGGAGACTAGTTCACTCAATAAAAGTCGCAAGAGTCATTCAAGGTAGAGTTACAGTTGCAATGATGATGAACAAGGTAAAAGATGAGAAGAAGATAAGGTGGTAGGAATTAGAGATTATAGGGACAAAAATGATGGAATAAAAAAAAAAAAAAAAAAAAAAAAAAAAATGGTAAGATCTTGAAGAGGATTTTAGCATTCACATATAAAATCTGTTCCACAAAGAGGCAACTTTTGGAGAAAAGCTGTTCGAGTGGAACATCTTGCTTACATTTGGAACACCGAGAAAATAAGAGTGGTATGACCCTGTGTAAGTAACAAAGCTTCCTAGCAGTAAAGGTTTGAACTGGTGGAACTAAAGAATGAAGCTATTCTGAACATTTGCCATGGAAATAGATTTGCAATATTGTACAAGTCAGTCCACACAAAACCAAGTAAACAATTTTGAACTTTAATAAGACTAAAGCTTCAGCCTATATATGATAGCAATACTCCATTTTTGGCCTAATCTGAATCTTAAATTTAACATGACAGAAGTAGCTATATACTTCCTGGAGCAATATTTACTGAGCTATCTAATTTTCCAGCTTCTTAGCATTGGATAGTATACACAAATTGTGCCACTTATGATTAAAAAAAAAAAAAAAAAAAAAAAAACAAGCCCCAAAATCAGGCTCTGAATGGTGATGAACTAATACTAGCTCGATTTTTTTTTTTTTTAGGTAAAGTTAAAAGCCAGTTAGAACCATTGAGCTGTAAGGGTAAGGCTAAAGGAGTGATCAGCTGTGAGGTACTGATCATTTTTTGAAAGCATTCAAATAGTATTGTCAGCATAGATGCTTACTAATGAGCTGGGGGTGTATCTTCACAATTAAATAAAGGCATTACTGAAGATATTCAATTTAAGTGGTGTAAAAAAAAAAAAAAAAAAAAAAAAAAAAGGAATTCAATTGCCCGAACTTGATTCTAGTAGTAACTTTTTTGAACTATCATAAATCAATTACTGTAGAAGAAATTTGCAGCCTACCTAAGGTAATATGAAGAATCAGGATTAAAAAAAAATTACAAAAGAGAACATTTAAAATACATTACTATTTGCACAAAAAGAATATACAATGGGAAAAAAAAAAAAAAAAAAAAAAAAAAAAAAAACTTACCTAGGGTATGAGAGAGAAAATTATTAAAGGCACAAACAAGCCACACCCAGTTTGGTATAGGAGGATACGATGGGTGGTCATTACTTGAAGCATAAAACTCCAGATCATAATAAGTCATAAGCATATAGTTGCATAGCAACAAAAGAAATCCCGCGAATGTGAGTACATTGGGTGCCAACCATAATGGAACAAACTGGGGAAAAAAAAATAAAAAACAAAATAAAAAAAAAATAAAAAAATAAATAAATAAATAAATTTTTAATAGGCACAAATCAAAAATAGGTCTCTTATATTTAACTATCCAGAGAACAAATGCTTTTTTTTCTGCTTAAACCAAATAGACTTTTCATTCTACTAATAAACTACCAAGCTATGAATTACAGGAATGTAATCCTTTCAAAACAGCAAAAAGACTTTATATCACTTGTTCAAGAATTTATGTAAAAGTGAATCCTATTCATTCTTATTGAAACAAAAATAAAAATTTCAAGTGTTAGACAAAAATCACATTCAGCCTGATAAAAATTGACTTTTTTTTTTTTTAATTCTTTCCTCCCCATTTAAAAGGGGTTAAAATCAAGAGAAAGAAATTCACAAATTGAGAAGGAAGCTAATTTCCATGTACACAAACAGGTTAATAAAGCCTTTCACTGTACACTCATGTCAATCCTAAATCCACATGATAAAAGAGAAAGTTTGTATCCCACTCCCATGTGGAGAAAGTTAATACTGTCAGAAATGCAGTAATTGTCAACAATTTCCTTTTTTTTTTTTTGTTTGTCAGTAAACAGTTACAATAGTTCCAGTCAAATCTACATATAACTGCTTGTTGTCATTAAAGACAAAGAAGAAATATTTGAAAATGTCATCAATCCAATGACTGGATGTGATTGTAGGGTTGCTGTATAACTGAACACCTGACAAATTCATTTCACATATCTGGGTTGAAAGCAAGAGAGGTATTCATGCCTATATAGCATGTCTAGGGCAAGTAGACTCAGTGGAGAATGCCAGTCGCCAAGTTAAACCACAGCCAATGTCCTCCAACTGAAAGACACACACATTGGTCACAGGCCAGTGATTCCATCTGAGGAATCCTCCACCCTGGTTGTTGACTTCACTTTAGGAATCCCTCTGCCCAGCAGTACCAGGACGTCACCACACTGGTTGCATACACAGCTATAGGGATCAGTCTACTCAATTACTGTTGACCCTAAAAAATAAGATTCGTCCCTACTTTAAAAGGTAGTCTTTTTAATCTTGCTAGGTGTCTAGCCATCCTCACCAAAAAAGCAGTGGGAGAATTGGTTTAGCTGCCATTGACCCAAATATATGTTTGGGAGTACATAGTATGAGTAGCAATTTTAAAATCGAATGAACTTACAAATTTTTAAAAATTTTAAATATAGGGGGTGATCACACTATACACAGACAATTTTCTTTAAGATTTAAAAAAAAAAAAAAATCAGGCATTTTCAGTGACCAGTTGCACTATACACACAGGCAAATTTTTTTTGTGTAGCAGAGTTAAAATTAATGCAAAAATATTCAGGGGTTGCACTATACATGAAGTTTGCTTATACACAAGTATACATAGTAATAATTTTTTACAGTTGTCATGAAGCACTCAAATAAGCAAGTCTTTATTTTTCATAATTTTATTTAAGTCCATGTCTCAACAAATTGACAGTACCAAACCAATATTATTTCCCTAGAAGTGACCAAATATGTGAATTAAAAAGAAAAATTGTGAATTAAAAAGAAAAATTGTAAATCAGATAAACAAAATTTATTTGATTTGGGATCAGCTTAAGTTACAATGTTACAAAAAAAAAAAAAAAGGACTTAAAAAGGCAGGAAAACAGACCTTTTGTAGCCGAAATCAGAAAAACAATTCAAGGTTTCATGTACATATTTAACACCATATATTTTTTATCTCTTAGTTGAACAAAGTAAAAAGAAATATTACATAAAAGAAATATTAAATAAAAAAGAAATAACTTACTTCCACCACCCAATTCCAAAAGGGATGTGTTATATATTTACCAATAGGACTTGTGTCTATAGCACTGTACTGAAAGAGATCAAAAATAATTATTAGATTTAGAATAAAATTATAGAAAATGTTTTCACAATTGCCTAAATATTGCAATCAATCTTAGAAAATAGCTAGATCTGTTCAAAGTTCTAGCAACATCTAAATCTATGTTCCAAACAAAAAATTAAGCAAACAAATACTTGAATGTGTACCTTTTAGTAGCTAGAGTCAATCTCTCTTGCAAAATATTGAATTTAATATCCGACAACACTATTGCATACCTCAAGTGTTGCTCAGCTAGTTTTCAAAATATCTTAACATGACTAAAGTGTCAAAATTAATTAAAATAAAATTCCGATAATACAATTTGACAAAGGACAATGCTTTATGCCTTAACTGATTGTCAAGGATCAATGAAAAAGGAAAGCAACTAGTTTTTCAGTTCCATCCATTTTCTTTGAAGAATTTGAGCTCATTCTGCGATTGTCACTGAATAATTATTAATTGCAGCCTTTTTATCATTTCATCCCAAGCAAGGCAATAAAGTTACCGAGTGAAAGAATAAAAGGAGAGAAAAAAAAGGAGAGAAAAAAAAAAAAAAAAAAAAAAAAAAACACACATTAAGGAGGGAGAATAATAAAAGAACAGGAATTAAGACAGTAAATAATGATTGACATTGCAAAAGAAGAAACTTAACATAGAACTTATGGTTAACAAGTAACCATTTCAACTGTAAAATGATGAGATCTTGCTGCAAATCTAGTACCAAGCTTAAATTCATAAAGTTTGGATGCCATAGAGGAAAGTTCATCTGAGCAATTACCATGAAAGTATTTATAGAAAAAAGGCAGTGAAGTTACATTACAGCAATGGAAAAGTGATTGAAATCAAGATGCCAGGTCAGGATGAATAACAGATTCTTTGGATTTTATCAAAAATCTCTAAATATATAACAATATAACCAGACCATAAGTGGCAACAATATTCAAAGCATGGACAAAGAATAGATTTATAAATGTGCAAAAGATTCTGGCAAGAAATAATTGTCAAGGATGACACAGTGAACAAACTTTCCTAGCAATTGATTCAGTATAATCTTTCCACTTAATGTGAACAGAAAATGTTAGCCTGAGAAAACATGAAGAGTCACTCTCCTGGAAGTTGGCATCAGCCATGCTGATGCAAGGCAAAAAAGGATCTCTCAGACAATTAAGAGAAGTTTCATTTTGAAGATGTTAAAAATTGCCCCAGTTAATAGAAGATCGTAAGTCATTTTTGAGATCAGCTATCAATTTGACCTTATCAAACTTCTGTCATTTGTAAATTATTGCATAAAAAATAATCATATTTCAATATGTAAAATTGAAAGTTTTGTCTCAGTAATAGTTGTTATAATGTAAGCAGGATTTGCTACAAAACATTGCCCAAACCAGAATATTTTTTGTTTAGCTTGATATGCTTTCACTAAATCCAACTCTTGTTTCTGGAAATCTTTCATTTTTGATACCTTTTAAAGTGGAAGGTAGATTTACTATGTACTTATACTAAACTGGCCTATGCTTATATGCTTACAAAAGGAGAACTCCTGCTTTTTCCACAGAATATGACACTCAAGTCAAGTTAGATAAAACTTTATGAACCTGTTTAATTGTAAAAACATGAAGAACATTCTAATTATGAATTTATGTCCAAGGATTAACACCCAAGCTTTGTTTGGGTAAAAATTGAAATCATTTTCATAACAAAAATATTCTGGCAAACAGATTTAGAGTTAAAACAAACTAAATTTAAAAATAATTATATATCTCTTATTAGAAGAAATGTAATAGATCAAGTATCTCAGCCTAATCAAATGAAATTTACATTGAAATTCCCCGATTTTGGGAATTACATAAGAGACAGTGATAAGCATAGACTTGTGACAGCTAAGAAGTTGAATTGATAAAGCAATATTGGCAATGTTTGACCTATAAAAAAAAAAGTTGTAAATGTATATAGTCGTATTGAGTAAATAACCACCCCTTGTGACACTTTTCACCCACCCCCCACTCCTTTGGCAATGTTAATTTAGATTATAAAAAAATAAGTACAATGTGATATTTACTTTTTATAAAAGAGGTATTATTTACCATTTTATAAAGAAATAAATTTGAAAAGAAACCTTTATTCAAAGATTTATAAAAAACAATTTCAAAATTATCAAAATATGTAAACTACAATGCAATATTTATTATTTATCATAGAACAAGAAAATTTAAATAAATATAAAAGAATGATTGCATCAGAGGAAAGCTGCTCTTATGTTAGTAAATTTACATGGTGAGAGCAAATGAAAGAAATGCCTGTAAAATTCATTTTTTTTTTTAATTTATAATTACACTTATGTGTTATTTAAATTTTTTTGTTCACTCACATTTTTATAAATTTATAAAAATCTTTCCCTATTTATTTATAAAATGGTTAAGAAATATTTCATTATGGTTGGTTTACATATAATTTTGCAAGTATAAAACTATTCTTGTAAATAGTGTTTAATATTTTTGTTGTCAATTCTCAAGAATAAAGACAATGTATAAATCCACTTTAATATGTTTGGGTTTTATTAAAATTCTATCACTTTTTAGCCAAACATTACCAATGGAGTCAACAGTGTATACAGTAATAGCAGCGTCAAAGGAATAACCATTCTTTTGACACTTTATGTGAGTGCATAAGTTAAACATTGCCAAAATATTTTTATTTACATTTTACAAATCTGGAGAAAACATCAAACATTTGGCTTTTATTAAAGAAAAATAAGTCAACAGAATACAAAAAAAAAAAAAAAAAAAAAAAAAGTCATTCAGTGCATATCAACTTGCATGAAAAAATTTCCTTATTCATTGACTGTGAATCTAAGATTTCACCTTACTATAGCTTTTTACTATAGTAAAAAGCATTTATGTTAATGTCAGGCAGCTAGTTTTATTTCAACATTCATTAATTATAGATATTTTTTATAAATTACTAATAAAATTTCTTCACACATTTTGGAATTCTTGAAAAAGGGTTAACTTTACACTTGGCAGCATACTCTAAGAAAGCACACTGCCAGTCTACTAACCAGAGACCATATTATTAATATACTGCATTAATAACTCAGGTTTAGGAGTTTAAGTTTAATAACAATGACCTTGGTCAGTTGGTTAGGAGGATATGTCTAGGTTGCTTCCAAACATCAAGTAAATCTTAATTAGAGACTGAAGTTCAACAACAGGAATAGGCAACCTATAGTTAAATGTGACCCAAACTGGTGGCTAGGTCATATAACCATACAGAACAATTATGTATGGAGTTTTGTTACTCATCTTGGTTCCATTTTGGTCCAAAGTAGACACTGGCTTATACATTGGATTTGGTGAATATATTAAAATTATTTTATTTATTACATTTAATTTGCCACCATTCTTTTCAACATATTTAAAAGATTCTTTGTGTCCTAACAGATTCAAAAAGACACAGTTATTGGAATGAATAACTCATTACTAATTAGCATTCTTGGTTAAGCAAAAATCATTTCCCAGCAAGTGTTGATTTGAGGCAAAATAACTGCATGTATTTCAATGGATAATTCTTATATTTCAAGCTATTTGTATGCTATCTATATCATCTGACCTACAGAAGTTAAGACATAGAATTAGATAAAAAATAAAAAAGCTGTTGACTCCCCCACCACTCCTATATACTGGATTGGACATTATATGTGGCATTTTCGTAAGGACAATTATTTTCCAAGTAATATCAGGACCTGTAAATAGGCAGACAAACTTGGATACCAACAATAAAGTCGCTATACCTACATTAAAAATTTCACCCTTATATGATAACCCTTCATACCCTTAAATAATAAATACATCACAATCAGAGGTTGATCTAAGTCAAGGTGAGAAAATCATTGTAAACTATGATCTTGTCAATAGTTGCATAGTATATGGCGGGGGGTGGGGGACAAAATGCAGCTAATAAGCCACATGTGGCCCAGCTTGTAGAAATATGTTAGCTGAGCTCGATTTTTTTTCCATCAGTTAATATAAGAAAAATTCAAGTTTTATAATTATTTACTGGGTATGAATGGAGACACCATTGGATTAAAATGCAAGTTTAATGTTCATGGTTAATAAACAGTTTAAAAAACTGCATACATGAATAAATATTATTGCACATATGCATTCCTTAATAGTTATATAAAACTTTTGTAACAAAATGTGTATGAAACAAAAATATATGTGTAAATTTTGTTCACGTCTTGCCACTCTCAAAATTCTGAACTTTATTATACATGGCTGTTACATTAAGCAAGTTTGGCCACCCCTGGTATATGCCATGGCAGAGTTACTTATGGCCTTGAATTCAGAGTCATCCATTTCCTAGACTGATTGCTAACCACAGATGGAGAGCCTAGTCTGCTTAGTTATTTAACCCATAGCTGGTGGGGAGAAGAGATGGATACCTTTCTCAAGAGTATCTGCACAAAAGTCAGCTCCCTAATTTATTGTTCCAAGCTGCTATCTCTGACACCTTCTGCACATCCATATGTAATAGAGCAACTCATATCTTTTTGGTCACACTTTCTACTGACATGAAATGGAGCAATTATACTGTATGAATTCTTAGATCTGCTACTAAGAAGCTTGCACATTTATAAATCTACCATTTGTCCATGCACTGAATATCTGGTCTGGTGCTCTGGCTATATATCGAGATTCGACAAAATCCAAAGGGTCAGTAGTATTATCAGACCCGACATCTCAAATTCAGTCACTTCTCCATACAACCCCATACCATAGTGACCTGCTTTCACTGTCATTTTTTTTTTTATATTTTCATGATAGTTCTAATGAGCTTGGTTCTTTGACCATATAAATTTAAGCATACTACTAGATTGGCTACTAGGTCTAATTTTACTGTTGAAATAGTTACATGTAACTAAGTTCTATTCTAATAGTTTTTCTCACACTTCTCACCTGGAACTCTTCCAGGTTTCCTTCTTCCCTACC